TCCAAAAAAATTACAAATTTAAAAATCGCTAATTTTCGAAATTTTTTCAATTTTTTTTACTAAAAACTGCCGTAACTTTTTCAAAAATGAACATATCAATATAAATTTTTTTTTATAGATGCTTGATATCTTTACCTATCATTTAATACATTTTTTTTGTAAATTTGACCCTTTATCTGCCCACAGGGCAAAGCTAATGTAATGTACCTTAATTTGAAAAAAAAAAATTTGACCTCTGGACTTGTCTTTGTGGTGAAAACGGCTACCGAATGCTATTTTTGTATGAAAATTCTCGATTTTATAATTTACATTTTTTACTTTATAATGCTATAACTTATTGAAAAGTGTATGGATCAACACAATTTTTTTATGAGAAGTAGTATTTATATACATCTTTCATTGGATAAACTTTTTTTTTAAATCAGACTATTTCCCTATATATGGGGGGGCTTCAAATATAAAAAATGCATATAGAAAGTAGAACTTTTTCAACTTAACTTTTGAAAATGTTCCGGAAGGTCTGACACTTTTATATATATCTTAAATTAAAGCTTATGTAATATACTTTAATTTAAAAAAAAAAATTTGACCTCTGGGTTTGTCTTCATGTTAAAATCACTACCGTATTCAAAAATTTGCTATCTGCCTTTATCTGCCCACGGGGGGGGATTTAAAATGACAACTTTTTCATAATAAATTTACTTTTTCAACATAACTTTTGAAAATGTTTCGGAAGGTCTGACACTTTTATATATATCTTAAATTAAAGCTAATGTAATATACTTTAATTTGAAAAAAAAAAATTTGACCTCTGGACTTGTCTTCATGGTGAAAACGGCTACCGAATGCTATTTTTGTGTGAAAATTTTCGATTTTATAATTTACATTTTTTACTTTATAATGCTATAACTTATTGAAAAGTGTATGGATCAACACAATTTTTTTATGAGAAATAATATTTTTTAATAATCCCTTTTTCATTTGACATACTTTATCTTAATCGAGATATTAATAAGGAACCAGCAGATCAAGTAGCTTTTGGAATAAAACACCAATTTTTTTAAAATTAAACACTATCTAAAGATTTGCATCAAAGCGTTTATTTTTGATAGTGATTTTAATCACTGTTAGATATCATTAAACTTGATCCAACTATGCCACGTCACCACTTTGCCGCGACCCCCCTGTGCTGAGTTTTTTTTTTGTTGTAAAAGATGTAAAAATCGTAAAAGTCCATAAGTCTAAATTTTTGGTTTTCAGTAAATATTTGAACAATTCATGTTGTAAAGTATTTTTATGAGTACAGTAGAACCTCATTAATCTGGACTAATAAGAGCTCTAGGTTGTCTGATTTAATGAAAGTCCGGATTAAACAAAATAACCAAAAACATGTCCGTATTATAGATTTAAGAATATTATATTATACTAATTACTATTGACACGGTACCGTGTTTCCCTCAGCCGCACATCACGTTATCAACCTAAATGAAAGTGTATCGGGATCTGAATAATAAGTGCACAGTAGCCTAGTGGTAAGGTTTGTCTATACGACGCCTTGGGTCGCGGGTTCTAATCCCGTACCGTGCCTCTTTTTTTCACATGATTTCCGGTACACTTTCTATAACCGGCCGTCAATCCCCGGCGGCCGTGTTACTATATATGATATACAATATGTATGTATTGCAACATGATATTAGGTCCAGCAAAAACATTACATATTAAAAAACTTACATATCAACATAATGCATATACATAATCATATATAAATTACTAATACATAGTTTATGATAACTTTAATGACGGTAGATAAGAATATATGTACTTATGGTAAATTCGAGAAACTTGCTATTATGTTTATTTTAGTCTACGGCATAAACTGCGTATTTTTCGTAATATTAGACAGCTGTCCGGATTAAGCGAAGTCCGGACTAATGAGGTCCGGATTAATGAGGTTCTACTGTATTTATGTTTTTAGTTTCATTTTCATAGATAAAAAAAATCGGTAAAATATTTTAATGGTTTATTATCACTCATATGATTTTAAACTTAACTTACACAAATTTCTTATTAATGAGTATTAAATTTTTTTTATTAATAAGTATAAGTTTTTAATTCTATTATAAAAATATGGACATAATTTGTTATTAAAACAGTCACGTACATACATACAACTATAAGTTAATAATATTTAAAGTAGCTTATATCTCTAAGACAATTGTCGGGTGCACTATTGGTTGATCAACAAATTTGGAATTTAAAAGGAAAATTAATGAGAAACACAATAAACGATAACTTAACTTAGAAATTTTGAAAATAAAAATATTTTCTTTCAATATGTGTCAAACAAATAAAATTCATAAAAACACAACGTGTCAGCTTATAAATAAACATATTAAAAAATTATCATTACCTATTAAATACATATAATTATGTGCCTCACATTCATCAACAACAAATTAATGAAAATATTAATGGAATACGGAAATCTAACAAAAAAACCCAGCACAGGGGGGTCGCGGCACAGTGGTGACGTGGCATAGTTGGATCAAGTTTAATGATATCTAACAGTGATTAAAATCACTATCAAAACTAAACGCTTCGATGCAAACCTTTAGATAGTGTTTAATTTAAAAAAAATTGGTATATTATTCTAAAAGCTACATGATCTGCTAGCTCCTTATTAATATCTTGATTAAGATAAAGTATGTCGAATGAAAAAGGGATTATTAAAAAATATTATTTCTCATAAAAAAATGTATTTGATCCATACACTTTTCATTAAGTTATAGCATTATAAAGTAAAAAATGTAAATTATAAAATCGAAAATTTTCACACAAAAATAGCATTCGGTAGCCGTTTTCACCACGAAGACAAGTCCAGAGGTCAAATTTTTTTTTTCAAATTAAAGTATATTACATTAGCTTTAATTTAAGATATATATAAAAGTGTCAGACCTTCCGAAACATTTTCAAAAGTTATGTTGAAAAAGTTAATTTTTTGTGAAAAAGTTGTCATTTTAAATCCCCCCATGTGGGCAGATAAAGGGTCAAATTTACAAAAAAAATATATAAAATGATAGGTAAAGATATCAAGCATCTATAAAAAAAAATTTATATTGATATGTTCAGTTTTGAAAAAGTTACGGCATATTTTAGTAAAAAAAATTGAAAAAATTTCGAAAATTAGCGATTTTTAAATTTGTAATTTTTTTGGAGGTTTCCCCCATTTACGGGGAACGAGGGAAATTTTTTCTCAATTTTTAAGGGTAATGTCTTCGACTATATACGATTTGTGATCTTTTGACATATCGTTGAAAGAAATCCGTTCGGTGAGAGCTTAGAAAAAGTGGTAACAGACACAAAAAAAAACACATCATAGTAAAACCAATATCTTCTCAGCTTCGCATCGAAGCTAAAAATGTCAAAATTTACTAATATTAAAAATCAAATTTTTTTGTGGAATTTTCCTCATTTACAAAAAATTAGGTAGTTTTTAAGGGCAATGACTTCAACGAGATATGATTTCTGTTCTTTTGACGTATGGTTGAAAAAGACGCCAGCTGGAAGCAAACGTGTAATTAAAAACCTCTATTACAACTTGTAGAAGTGCGCCAAGTTTCATACACAACCAGGCGTTTAATGGAATTGTCTTGTTCGTGTTAACGCCATATTCTATAAAAGACATTATATGTTTGTGCATACAAACCTAAATATCGAAATTTGAGGTCTATTCAAAAAGTATTCTGCATTTTTATAGGCATATCTAATAAACAATCATTGATAACTAGTATGTTATGTAACATAAAAACAAAAAATTAGTCTTTATATAAAAATTTAATGATACACAATTTATTTTAAAGTTCTAGTGATACTATTAAAAGATTTAGACAATAATTTGGTAACTTACGTTTCATAACTATGATAGTTTTGACTTTTTAGTTAAAAAGTGTGTATTTTCTAAGATCTCAAATTATTATAAGAGAACAATGGATACAGTAATATTAAGAAGGTGTATTAAGTCACAAAAAAAATTTGATCTAAAGTAATTGATTTAATAATGAAAAAATATTTCTGTATTTTTTATAATCATGCAAGACATAAAAATGAGTTGCTTTACAATTGCATTAATCCTATTTAAAAGAACATATGTTTTTTTTTTTTGATGGGGAGGGGGTATATGTTAGTAGCCTGCTCGAGACCGCCCATGCAAACTGTATTTTACCTTAGAGACCGTGACCAATAGCCAACATTTCGACAGACGAGCACCAATTCTCGATCGCACATCCCATAATAATTACAATATCAAAACATGTTCTTTTAAGGTAGGTTTTATTAAAACTAACCTACTTTGTAAAATTAATTCAATATATTGGTTTGATAATTAGCATTTTAAAAATAGACTAAAATAATACTTCTTTATTTTTCTAGTCATACTAGTTTTTAAAACAAAAAAACTTCTCATAAACATATAAATTTATTAAAAACAAATATAGTAACAAAAAATTTTTAGAGAAATAAAAACAAATGTAAGAAAAAAAAAATGTATAACAATAAAATAAATTAGGTAAAAGGCAAGAAACGAAATTTGTACAGTTCGTATTTTTTTCTATGTTAAAAAACAAATTATAAAATAACGATAATTTAATGATTTTAATAGGGATGATAAAAGGAACATAAAGTTTTAAAAGTTTAACAAATTTGATTACATGAAATAACTTGGGGAGGTAACTCAATTAAAAATGTTCTTCGACACTGTTTGATGGATTATAAAATAATTTTAAACTATTAAAATTTTATTCGTGTTCTGAATGTTCTTTAGAATCAGAATCAGAACTAGAATCAGAGCTAGAACCAGAATTACTACTACAATCAGAACTTGAAGAAGAATCACTACTAGAATCAGAACTTGAAGAAGAATCACTTCTAGAATCAGAACTTGAAGAAGAATCACTACTAGAATCAGAACTTGAATCAGAATCACTACTAGAATCAGAACTTGAAGAAGAAGAAGAATCAGATTCAGAATCAGAATCGTCCGAAGAATTTATTTTTGAAATCTTTAAGACTATTCTGTCTTCCAATTCATCAGGTTGGGCCAAGTAAATCTCAACGCTACTCGAGTATTTGAGTCTATTCGATGATTTACATGCGTCGAGAGCGTCTGTAGACCGTGTTGTGTTAGAGAAAAATCCTGTTGAATTTTAAGAAATAAAATGCGAATTAAAATATTATTATTATGAATGTGTTTCATTAAAGTGTATAAATCAATTTTTTACCATCGCAATCATAGTCAGTTTCTGAATCGTCTTTATTTTTCCATTCGTCGTCTGAATCAGATGTTGAAGATGTGGCCCTTATTTTCAACACTACTCTATTTTCTTTGTATTTACTCGAGTGAAACTCTACGCAGCTTGAGTATTTACACCTCTTCGATGGCTCATATCCATCAAATGTATTTGCCCTTTTCAACGATTGTGAACTATTACATAGTTCAGTCGACTTAACCGAATTAGTAGGATGTATATCCATATTTTCGTAACCTGATAAATATTAACAAATTAAGCATGACTATTATTGGAAAAATTAACAAATATAGCCGATGATTAAAAATTTTATTTCATACTTTTTTGACGTTCAACTACATAAGTCTCATCGTCATGTTCGACTTTTCTTTTCGTAGATGATTCGTCAAATTGTGTTGAAAACAGTTCTACGAGTATTTCGTGAGGGTCCTTCCAATAAGATGCACGTGATCGGTCAATTTTTTCTATTATTTCTTTGGCGAACGGTTCATAGTTTTCTACTGGAACTGCTATGGATCGAGTAGATTTGCGGTACGAACGCTTAGGCATGTCTTTTGCTGTAGTTTTAATATTGGATTCAATTTTAGGATTGTCACTCAAGCACTTTTTTTTATTGACAGGAGCCTGTTTCTTAAACGGAATTGTAGGTTTTCCACGCAATTTTTTGAGCTGGGCAAACAATTTTTGTGTCTTCGTGCTCATCGTTACAAATAATTTCAATAATTAAAACTTGAAAATGTCAACGACGTTAGTTTTGAGAATAATTAAAAAAATTGATGATAATGTTGAAAGTCAAAAAATTCTCAAAGATAACCTGAGAGTAAAAATGTTTGCTAATTTACAAATAAAAAATTTTATCCATAGAAACTATTAACAGAAAACTTAATTAAATATNTTTGCTAATTTACAAATAAAAAATTTTATCCATAGAAACTATTAACAGAAAACTAAATTAAATATATTTTTTTTAAATATTTGGAAACGTACAAAAATTGCTTGTTTATTTTTCTTAGTAACATGTATGGAACAGCTTTAATTGAATAATAAAGTGCTATGTATTAGTAGATTATTTCATTAAAATTTCAATTTAATATTTTGTGATTATGTAAAAAATTGATTTATAAAATAATTTAAATACAATTCTTTTGTCTACAATCAAATAATTCGTGAAAAATCCAGACAAAGGGAGTTGCTTTTAAACAGCCGTATTATCATAAATTTTCTAAGAAAAGGAAAAACCCAATTGTCTAAACCATGTGGACTTTATGTAAAATTTAATTAAATTTTTCCATCGGATTTTTAAGAAATGGTTTAACTACATTTTCTCGAAAAAAATAAAAAAGTGATTATTGTGAACTTGATAAATATTTCTTGTAATTATGCAGGTAAGTTGAATATAATGAGAGAACTAGAACAGGATTTAGGATTAGAATAGTATACTATTGTAACATTACTCTTGTTTTTTATGTATTTTTGAAACATTGCAGAAATTATGATATGGAAAAAATGCCTTTTAGTTATAAAATAATTCATTCTCGCTTATAGTATTCCATTTTCCAATACTAGGTAGATATTAATCTAATTTTTCTTCTTCAGTTTTTACTCAAAATACGATACATGACAATTTTTTCTCGAGAGTCTGTAATACCATTGATATTCATTCGTGATCTATATAAATACTAGTAGTTAGATTAGTGTCCATAATAACCAATTGTTTTAAGAATTTTTATTTACATTAGGAATTTCTGTCAACTATGATTATTAAAAAAAAAAATACGTTTTATAACTGATATTTCTAATAATTCTGCATTTCAAACATTGTAATAAATTTTACAAGGAACAACTTAAATATATAAGATATTTAATTTAAGCAAAAAAAAAAAAAATTTAAGTGTATCAAAGTAGAAAATTTAATTAAATGTAATAGTAACATTGTAGAATTTAAAGAACAACGATTTTGATTATGAATTTCCAACGGAAAATAAACAATTATTTACTAATAATACTTCTTTAAAAGTAAAAATAGTTATTTTAAACTCAAGAGGGCGAAACATAGCCTTTTCCCGAATACTACATCAATAGCGGCACAGTTGGTCTTGCATTGAAAGCATTGAAGATGCTGAAACTGTCTATGTAATATTCATTTTTTAATTGCGTTCTAGATCTTTAAAGTTCTATTTGTTATTTTAATAATGTACAATAAAATATTTTTTAATTCAATACATAAAAAAGTTAATTTTTTTTGTAGTATTCTTTCAGTTATTTTAGAAAAAGTAAGTATTTTTCTATACACGAAAATTCTTACAAAACATTTAGAAAAATTAAAATAAAGCATTATTATTAGAAGCAACCGCTTGCTAAATGGTAGCCTGGTCACACTGTACTTACAGTCTACAATTACAAAATTTACTCATAAATTTAGTTTTTAAAATATCATCATCAATCATTTTTACAGACTTATTTAGAATTATAAATATATATAACAATAAGTGGTCCTATACATTTTTCTAGGGAGGATATTTTTCATAAATTTTGATGAGTCAGCACTTTTTTAATTGACGAATTTTTTTTTGTTGTAAAATTTTTTAACTACAAAAAATATTTAAAAATAGATTTTTTCTGATTAGTTTGTATGAAAACTAACTATTCAAATTATAAACATTGTGCTTTTATTTTTATTATCAAGATCCTTCAGGTTTAAGATAAAGTAACTCATTTTTTTTTTTTTATTCTTATTTCATATAAACGGTTGCATTAAATTGCAATTGATTTTTGTTGAGCCTGTAATTTTAATTGGAGCCTATGTATACAACTGAAAAATTACAAATTAAAGCATAAATTTATTAATTTTGCATATTTTTATAAATGTATGAATTACATATTTTTATTTAAATAATATATATTTTTGCTTTATAAAAATTAAGTCAAAAATTATTTGGAGAATACTTTTTATTTTTTAAAGAAAATTAGCATTATAGTTCAGTTATTTTAAGAGAATCCGGTCTTTAATTATTAATTTAAGACCACATGAGGCACAATTACTAAATGAAGCACAAGCCACAAGATAAATGTTATTTATCTGCTTTACCATCATTAATTTTAAATACAGTAGTAGTAGCCAAAACATAGGAAGAATATTGGTACAAACTGATATTGAATATCGATCGATATTATTGACCATATGGGAAGAGCGGCTATCGATTTTTTTGAACCGATAGTAGACCCAAAATTGCCCCCTACCCGAAATAAAAGTAAAAACCAACACGGTATAATTTTTAATTTATATTTATACATAAAGAATGAAAAAAAAATACATATATATAATTAAAGTTAAAAATAGGTAAATGTACTATTTAAAGTATATAGAATGCATTTGTAAACTCTTGACATGCATCATTTTTACAATACATGATTTCCCGAATACATAACTAAATACATGTTTAATCTAATGTACACGTAATCGTAAAGAACTTTTTTGAAAACTTATGAACTTATTAAGATTTTGTGATTAATGATGTTCCTTAAATTAGTAGTTCAACTTTTACAATATTAACTTTTACAAATTGGTAAAATCAGCAATATAAGGAGTTATAAAAATGAATCAAATTATGTGTACTTGAGCGAAAATAGTACAAGTCAATTTTTGGGTAAAATGAGTTTGATCTGAATATAAATATATCAAATTTCACATTTTCTTTGGTATAAATATTAGAAATAAAATAATGTTATGTAACAAAATTTTTGTATTTTAAAAATTTATATTTGTATTGGTTCTTATGGGGAAAAAAAATTTTAAATGACTATCTTATAAAATTATTAAAAAAGACTTACAACACTTTTGCTATCACTCCCTCAATATAATACAAATAAATTTTTAAAGTATTTAATATTTAATATTTAAATTATGTTTTTTAGGTATAACTTGCGTATGAGATATCGAAATAATTCATAAAATCGATTCACTCTAATTTATACTATTATAAAGTAAAATATTTTACAATGGCAACAAAAAAAACACACTTGCGTTATTACAAAATGTTATTTTATAAAACATGTAATATTTTTTAGCTTCGATGCGAAGCTGAGAAGGTATTAATTTTACTATGATTTGTTTTATTTTTTTTTTAGTTATTTTTTTTTTTTGTGACTGTGAACGCTCTCGCTGGACCGATTTTGATGAACAATATGTCAAGAGATCAAAAATCGTATCTAGTCAAAGATATTACCCTCAAAAATTGAAAAAAATTCCCTCGTTCCCCATAAACGGGGGAAATCCACCAAAAAATTACAAATTTAAAAATCGCTAATTTTCGATATTTTTTTAATTTTTTTTACTTAAAATTGCCATAACTTTTTTAAAAATGATCGAATCAAAATAACTTTTTTTTTTATAAATACCTTAGATATTTACCTATTATTTTATATATATTTGTGAACATTTGACCCTTTAACAGCCCACAGAAAGGGTTTCAAAATGGTAACTTTTTTACAAAAAATTAACTTTTTCAACTTAACTTTTGAAAATGTTCCGGAAAGACTGACACTTTTATATATACCTTAAATTAAAGCTAATGTAATATACTTTGATTTGAAAAAAATTATGATGCTATAACTTTTTAAAAAATGCATGAATCAATTCTATTCTTTAACAATAAATATTTTATACATACCTCTTTCATTCGATATACTTTTTTTTTAAATCAGACCTTTTCCCTTTATACAGGGGGGGTGCAAACCTTTTAAAATACGTATAGAAAGTAGAACTTTTTCAACTTAACTTTTGAAAATGTTCCGGAAAGACTGACACTTTTATATATATCTTAAATTAAAGCTTATGTAATATACTTTAATTTGAAAAAAAAAAATTTGACCTCTGGACTTGTCTTCACGGCGAAAATGGCTACTGAATGCTATTTTCGTATGAAAATTCTCGATTTTATAATTTACAATTTTTACTTTAAAGTGCTACAACTTTTTAAAAAATATATGGATCCATACAATTTTTTCATGAGAAGTAGTATTTATATACATCTTTTATTGGACATACTTTTTTTTTAAATCGGACCATTTCCCTATATATGGGGGGTCTTCAAATATAAAAAATGCATATATAAAGTAGAACTTTTTCAACTTAACTTTTCAAAGTGTTCCGGAAGGTCTGTCATTTTTATATATATCTTAAAATAAAGCTTATGTAATATACTTTAATTTGAAAAAAAAAACTTGACCTCTGGATTTGTCTTCATGTTAAAATGACTACCGTATTCAAAAATTTGCTATTTTTGTGTTAAAGTTGTGGGTTTTGTATTTTATTTTATTTTAAAATACTTGACAAGGGGAGTACAGATTTTCATAAATATTATATAAATGAAAAATTAATATAGCATAGAAAATTAAACTTATTTAAATTCGTTTGCTTCATTTAAATCAAGAAAAATAACTTTGTAATTTGAACTAGCATAAATAGCCAATTTTTTCAATGTACGGTATCGACGTACGGTTGTCGAGTTAGTAGAACTTGTGTGTTACAATCTTGGGGTACGAAGTTCCAGCCCGCATGTGGACATGGATTCTTTGCATTTTTTTTAAAATTCTTTTTAAATTAGTATAAATTTTTAACTCGTTTGATTTTTATCTCATTTAGATTCAATAACTTCAATAAAGATCAAAGATCCCATCACTTTAGTCGCCTCTTGCAAGAAGAAATTTCTTATTCGTATTAAAATTATTTTACTATATTTTAAGTTTTCGCTTCGATGCAAAGCTTAGAAGATATTTTTTTGTGACTATCATTTATTTTCTCTGCTCTAACTTGACCTACTTTTTTCAACGATACGTCAAATGACTACAATTCGTATCTATTTATTGGTTATTTTAGTTAAAGTAAAACATTAAAATTAATTCAGTTCAAATTTCAATTTTAGTATCTTCTTAAACACCAAAAGTTACTATAAAATGATTAATATTATAAAAAATAGGTTAAATATGTCATTTTCCTTATTTTTAACATATTAATAATCAAAATCAATATTAATTTAAAACAATTTATTTTGTTCTTAATTATTTCTTAATAATAAGTAATAATATTAAAATTTAGATAGAAAAAGTCTAATTGCACATATAAAACATCGCAAAAAGTTGATTTAGAAAAGTATATTTTTGATTCTGATGAAAGTTCCTTGAAGTCCAGTGCATTCATTTATAGTAACAAACAGTTTTTATTGATAATTATTGTATCAAGCCCTTTAAATTTTTATACACGTAAAAGTAAAGCAAAATATAACTTTTTCATTATTTTATAATTTCTCCGTATAAATTACAATATTAAATTACTGGATATCAATTGTATACTAAATTTAATAATTATAATTAGTATTTATTCATATATTATGTTTTAAAATCAAAGACCTACTAATCAGGATATAATCAAAGAAATAAGACTTAGAGTTAAGTTGCTTTTGGAATAATCCACCAACTTCTCTAAATGAAACACTATCTACAGATTTGCATCGAAGCGTTTCTTATGATAGTGATTTTAATCACTGTCAGATATCATCTATACTTGTCCCATCTATGCCTCACCCACACTGTGCCTCGACACCACTGTGCTACCGTTTTTTAAATAAGTGTTTTTGTCTATAGACATGAGAAATAATTAAAAATTGAGTTATTGTTATTATAGCGCAAATTAATTTTTTAATTTTAAGAACAAATAACACTGATAGTAATCATTTATTTAAATTATTTAAAATATAATTAGACATAAATGGAATTTGTAATAATGATAACTACATCAGTATAATATGATATCTCAAATTAACAAATAAATTTGAAATTATTTTTTTATTATACCAATGGAATTTTTAAATACTTTTTTTTTTGGAGAAATTAGTAATGTTATTGCAATGTGAGAGAAAATAGACCCCCTCCATAATGTTAATTGACATAAATACATTTTAATCTTTTCAACTTATAATCACCAAATATTGGAAAAACTCTTTAATTTTAAACAAAATTCTCAAAATTACACACTGTAAATATGGCTATAGCCAAAGTATACTTCAAAACTTTTTTTGATTAAACATCTTCAAATTAATAAAATTCTTCGTTTTACTGATTTATATAGTAAAATCATATCACTATGTAATCTACTTTATTATGTAAAAAAAAAATTTCGGACTTTATTTTGTCTTCACGGTGAAAATGGCTACCAAATGCTATTATTGTGTGAAAATTCTCAATTTTATTTTTTACATTTTTTACTT